ACTCTTAACTCTACGAAAACTTTTACTTCCTATTTAGTTGAGACAGCAGTAAGGTAAAATAAGAACCCTTTCTCAATTATGCCCTCCTGAAAACAAGAACACGAGCCCATCCAGTTTAGATGGAGTATAACAGAATCAGAGGAAAATGAGGCCCTGAACATCGATGGTATACATCTCACCACCAAACTGGTTACACATTTTATAAAAAGAACTGCGCGTGCGCGTGCGTGTGGTGTGGTGTGCGTGTGCGTGTGCGTGTGCGTGTGCGTGTGTGTGTACATGAGCATGTGTATGTCACAACCCATGTATGAAGGTCAGAGGACAACTTGCAGGAGTCAGTTCTCTCCTTCCACTATATACAGAAGTGGGATCAAACCCTCAGGTTGATAGTGTTTTTTACATGCTGCCTTATCTCACCCAAATCTAGACCCCCCTTAAGTTCTCATCTAGAAAACAGCAGTAAATGTATCTTCTCATCATATGCTGCCAAGACAGTTTTGAGAAAAGAGAAAAGCACTGTCTGATACATTAAGGACTGTCCATGGTGAGGATTACTATTTAGCAGTAAAAGATATTGGTGACAAATCATATTCACCACAAGCTTTAAGTACACTTCTCTACTGCACTTAAAGAGATGCATAGCTATTTAGAAGGCTGAGACAGGAGGGTCACTGGAGTCTAAGAGTTGAGGGCTGGCCTAGACAACACAGTGAAACTATGCCTCTTGAAAAATTAACTCTTTCATACTGATCACACAGCATGCCTATAATCCCAGCAACATTCAGCAGACAGGCAGAATTACAGGTTTGAGGCCAGCCTACAATATATAGGCAATTTGCTGTTAGACACATCACCTTGTTTCAAAGTAGGTAGGTAGGTGAAGTTAATTTTGTTTTTTTGTTTTTGTTTTTCCTTTGGCACAGGCATTATAAAATGCTTTAGGGCCATAGCACTTCTATTCAATTTTCAAAAGAAAATTTAAAACTTTTTATAAATTTGTGTGTGTGTGGACAGAGAGAGGGAGAAGGGGGTAAGAGGTATATGCCATAGCACATTTAAAGGTCAGAGGACAACTTCACGGAGTAAGTTCTCTCCTTCCACCTACCTTTATATGGGTTTGGGAATGGAACTCAGATTACCAGGCTTGTATGGCCAGTACCTTTCTTTACCCACTGAGATGACTTGTTGGCCCTAACACCTCTTAAATGGTCTATTTGTTAGACACAAATTTTGTCATAAAGTTGCCCAAATCACATCAACACATGTGATGATGTATGCTTATAATAATACTAGTACTTGAAAGGCTGAGGCAGGAGGATCCGAAGTCCACAGCCAATTTGGGGTCTAGCAAATTCCAATTGAGAATGAACCAATCAGCAATACTCTGTCTTAAAAAGAAAGAAACTTTCATAAATGAAGGAACTGGCAATTATATGGGGTGGGGGGGCTAGAGAGATGGCTCAGCAGTTAAGAGCACTGACTGTTCTTCCAGAGGACCTAGGTTCAATTCCCAGCACTCACATGGCAGCTCACAACTGTCTGTAATTTCTGTTCCAGGTGATCCAACACACTCACAGACATATATGCAGGCAAAACGCCAATGTACATAAAATACAAACAATTTAAAAAAAAAAAGTCTACTACCTGCCTGAACATATATTTCTTCTACACTGTCCCAACATGAATCCCTAGTGTTAAAAGACACCAGAGTGAGTAATTTGGACATATTAAGAGAAACACACAACCAAATAACTATATATTGATAACACAAAGTCCTTCCCCCTTCTGACAAAGTGCTTCACAATTCAACATAGAACAAGAAAACAGTACCATGCCAACATCTGATACCATCTGAATCTATGCCACTCCAGATCTGACTAGATGGTGGGGTGAAAAGCAATTTATTCTCCCTCTTACTACCCTCCTCTAGGCACCTTCCTTCTTCCTCTACATGCTCTCCCCATCTTAAATGACAAAGGTGTTCATCACTCAGATGCTGCCTGGCCCCTAGTGGTTTAAGCATACATGGTCGCTCCCCTACTCTACAGGCTTGGTAGGCTGTAAGGTACTTACTCTCTTCTCCACCCACTACCATCCCTAGAAACACACCTAAAATGCACTTGATGGCCTCATAAGACAGTCCCCAAAGATGTGGCCTGTATCACAATAGTTCAAGTAACTGCTGTTTCTCAGGGTCTAGGTCTCTGTCCCCTCTCCTCCTTTCATCACCTCCCTCAAATTTAATCTTATGCTCAGAACACACACCTTACCCACCCTGATTTTCTCTTGCAAGTCCGAGACATAATCCCTCACTAAAACAATATTGAATTTCTCAATGTTATCCTTCCATCTCTATTCCAGCAGTCATTCCTTTAAATATGTTTAACTAAGTAATTCAGCCATTTGTTTAATCTTTTTTTTTTTTTTTTGGTTTTTCAAGAAAGGGTTTTTCTGTGCAACAGCTCTGACTACCCAGGAACTCACTTTGTAGACCAGACTTGGACTAGAACAAAGAGATCCACCTGCCTCTACCTCCTGAGTGCTAGGATTAAAAGTGTATGTCACCATGCCATATTTATCACTCACTGTTGATACCTCCTCTATAAGGGTTGGGGTGTGGGGAAATACCTCCTCTGTAAAGTAAAAGCAATTGAGCCCAGCTTTACTCCTGCAAGTATCAGCTTTTGGGTTCGAACTCAGAGAGATCCACCTGCCTCTGCCTCCCAAGTGCTGGGATTAAAGGCGTGCGCCACCAATGCATCTTTAAGATCTCTCTATCTTTTTACTGGATCCTGAACTAATAGTTATTCTTTACAAGGTTTCACCTTTTTAATTAATGTGTTCAGTAATGGCCCATTCCTCAGCAGCTCACCCTAATACAGCCTTTTCAAGATGGTCATTTCATGTCACCAAAGACTCGACCCATCTTATTCTTTTCATCATTTAAGACAGAATCATTAGAAACTACTACTTTTTGTTTCATACATTTGGAAATGTCAAAGTGCTCTTGTGCTTTTCCTAAGTAAAAATTGGAAAGAAAAGGGGACTAAGTGGTTAATTTCAGAAAATCCTTTCTGGTAAGCTCTACTCTGATTAGCAGCACATTTAGTAAATATCTGACCATCCAGAAGCTACACCAAAAAAAAAAAAAAAAAAAAAAAAAAAAAAAAAAAAAAAAAGCCATCTTTTGGGTTCTATCTTGTAAATAGCTGGATGTGTACAATACTACAGGTCTTTTTGTAGTTCTAGTATTAATTTGCCCCTACTTTTAAGAAAAAAAAAATCTACAATAACCTAACTCAATAACAGCAAAGATGAAAAGTCGTCAAGTTACCAATGTCAGAGGACAAGCTTCAGAACTTAAACCTACCTGGTTATCTACATTTCCCATGACTACAGTCCTCTGGCTCAAATATGACAAGATTACTAAAGCAAGGGAACTCTAGTCTGCAAAAAGGCATTTAAACCATTGCTTTCACATTTCTCACATCAATAAGTAGATTTTTTTTTATGAAAATAAATGTCAAACTCGGCCAGGCGTTGGTGGCCCTTGCCTTTAATCCCACCACTCAGGAGGCAGAGGCAGGAGGATCTCTGTGAGTTCAAAGCTAGCCTGGTCTAGAGAGCAAGTTCCAGGACAGGCTCCAAAACAATACAGAGAAACTCTGTCCAGAAAAGAAAGAAAGAAGAAAAGAATGAAAGAAAAGAAAGAAAGAAAGAAAGAAAGAAGGAAAGAAAGAAGGAAAGAAAGTCAAACTCGTCATTTAAAAAGAAAAGTACCATTATTGACTTTTCTGTATCTGATAATCATTTATTCCTTCCCACTGCTGAACAAATTTTAAGTCAACAAAGATCTCCTGCAAAATGATCGGGGACAGAGAACACTCACCTCTCATTTCTACATTAACTAATATCACCCATCTCCTTTCATGCCTGGATTCCAGGAGCCATATTCAAACTGAAGCCACATAAATCTAAGTTTTTGAACAGTAGAAAATATTTTTTCAATACAATTGGGTAAAGTCACAGAAAGACTTACACAACTTGAACAGCTGTGTCTAGCGCCAATCTGCAGGCAGCAATGTAATTTGATTTGGACCCATTCATCAGAAACTCATTTTCAGATGCCGTTACTACAAGAACGTACTGGAGAAACGCTAGCTGCGGTGAGACGGCATTGTTCGCAGCAAGCGCACAAGTTTTTATTGCGAAGGACAGCTTAAAAGAGGAAATACAAATAATTGGTAATGTTACCACAGAGCTGTCCAGAAGAAGTTTGAATTACTGAATGAGCAGAAAACTAGGCATGACATGATCATGATCACCTAAGAAAGTTTGCAGGGAGGCTATTTACTGAGTCGGGGGCCAGATTTGGGGGAGGAGGGAGATTTAGCAGTTTCTTGCTTTTTTTTCCTGAAAAATTGAAAACCCTAGTCTTTAATTTTTAAATTTCACATCTCCACTGTAAACCCAGTCCAAACTCAAAGGGAGACTGGTGTCCAAGCGGACTTTAAAAGCCTGCTAGCTTCTTTTTAAGGTTACGTATGTAAATGAAAGACACCACAGCAACTTTGATGACATCGTGCAATCGAAGTTTGGGGTTTTGAAAAAAAATTACGAGGTGATCAAAAAGAATGAAAGAATCAAGAGTTTCAAAATAACCACTAAGCGTTTTCCAAAGCAACACATTCCAAGAAACTTCTCAGTCTCAACTCATAAGCCGGTGGCAGCTGTGCCGCGACTGCAGCGGCTAGAGTGGGGGTCTGATCCCGAAAGCCCTCATTACCTCTCGGTCGCATTCTCTCCCTCCAAACCTCCAAGGTCCCCTACGCTGTCATCCCGGCCGGCCACGCGTGCGGACACTCGGCCGCGCCCCCGCTTCACTTTTCCTCCCGGGCCGGGAAGCGCAGCCCAGGGCCCGGGACAGAGCCTCCCGCCACCGCGACCCCCAGCTCCCTCCCTGCCACGGACCCCGACAGCGCGCCTAGCCCAAGCCTCACCTGTGCTGTCATTCGCGGAGAAGCCCGGGGAGCTGAGTTTGGCTCGTTTGGGGTTGGGCGGTCCGTCCAGCAAGTTCTCGGCCATCTTCACCTGCTCGC